TTTTTTTGCAGTTTGGGCAGGAGTCTGGTCATGCGTAGCGCTAAGCATTCTCAGTATTCTTCTATCAGCAATACAATTACGATACACTATGATACTATACAAATACATGCGAACTCGTCAACGACAGTGAGTCTTTCCAGCCGGGACCAAAAACATTCACAGAATTCCGCTTACAGGCGAGGCGATAAGGGCTCTATGTATGAGTTCGAGAAACCTGGAGATATAGGACCAAGTATTTGGAGAATGTTGTTGAAATTGAGCGCATTTTTCTCTGTTCCTGGCCCTAGCATTCTTGGAACTCAGAATATCTATCAGGGAGCAAAAAATTTTAATGTAGTGTGAATTTACTTAACGCCTATTTTGCCCAACAATGCCCAATATGTTCTTGCCATGTAATTAGTTTTAGCTCAAATGTAAAGCTCAAAATGTGCCTACTTATTTTTTTGCTGAATAAAATTTGAATTTTTCTGAAAAATCTAGCTTAAAGCTTGGTTATTGTCAAGCTTATCATCTTGGGTTTATAGTGCCCCGCCTATTTTGTGCCTTTGCGGAATTTCGTGAATTTTTCATAATTTTTTTTCAATCAGGTTACGAAAAAAGTTTATGTTCAGGGAACGAGCAAACCTCAACGTCAGCTACCAACACTACGTTCCTGGAGCTCCACCACGATACACACCCGAATCTCCGTACACCATACAAAATGCCCCCGCCCAAGTCGATGCGGGACCGCTACCACCCAAATCGCCCATCGACAATGTGTCCGCCCTACAAGCTGATTCACTGGCAAACGGACCATCTGGTCCCCCACCGGTCGCGCAACCCGGAAGCAAAGATACTCTGCCGAACTCATTTCTTCGAGTAGAGAGCCCTCCGGAATACAGCGAAGTACCTGGTCCGTCCGAGCGTTCCCTTGCTACACAACAAACTTCACAGCAAACTGCACCACAAACGGATCAAAATCGCCTCGACGATGTGCCTCTGAACGATGGAAAAACTCCACGTGATCTGTTGTCATGAACAAACTTCAACTGGGTATAGATCTATGTATCTATTTTGTTTTTATTTCCGTCGAATAAATGTTCTATCACAATAAAAGCATAAAAAGGGCAAGAAATTCTAACTTCAACACTTTTGTGGGAATGCGCGCTCTCCACTTCATTGTCGAAAAGGCTGCTGAATGCATGTGAGCCTATTACGTTGACTTCCGGGGGCTAACTAGTTACTTCAGCTCTTTCATCCTCCCAGACTAGTCTGGTACCGATTTATCGTCTCCGGAGGGTGGACGGCTTGGTTAGCCCATGGACGGAATTGAACTTTGGTCCAATCTGGTCATAGCGGCGCCTCATGCCAACAGGCCACTCTCCCCTAGCCTAACACAATATGCTTTGTAATCAGCTCAAGTCGGCGTTTGCATTTTCCTCTCGCAAAAAGTTCAAAAGTTTTCTCAAGAAATGATATGAACAAATCTTTTACAACTGTGAACTTCATCTTTGTTTCTACCACGTTGTCTCAAATTTATGAACAAAAGATATAAATCAAGAACCGCAGTACTCAAATTCTGCCAATTTTTGCATCACTCTACTCTTTCGAAGTAGTCAAGCAGCACATAGGCAAAGCAACTCTGGAATCCTTGCGGCGATTCGGTACCACATAGATCTAATCTCGAGAAGCCTTGTGCGCTAGCTCGCTATTTACATACAACGCAACCTAATCTAACTTAGGCTAGAACGACCAAAAAGTCATAAGTTACTAACTATCCTAATGGCACAAAACATTTACCCTTCGATTCAATGAAATAGGCGACAGGAAGGTAGGCTCGCATCCACATCGCGTCTGCGTCTCTCCCGCGCGCATGCTTGCTGATCACTCTCTAGCCTCAGCTTGGTCATAAAACTCCGCCTCCCAACCGCCTATCTGGTTGAATCAATGCTAAGAAAAACTGCATCAAGTAGCAACTAAACTAAGGTGCCAAGCGGTTACTGAAACTAAGACCACAGCAGGAGTAGTTGCCCCACTCTGTACCGATGGTGCGCATCTACTATAACTCTCATACGCGATGCTTTCGAGGCTTCACTCATGTCTGCCGCACGTTATCAGCAGGATCAAGCAAGATGTGGCACACGTTCGCTCGTTACGAACCCCACACCCTAATTGGTGTTTCAATAAGACCCCCTGAACTATTGCA